TACCAGTTTATCCGCCCCGATACGTTTTGGAATCAAGGAGATAACCGTGCAATTCCACTGTTTGAGAGTCTGTCCAGGTTCAAAGAACTCAAGTACTGCCCTTGTGAAATCCTCCCCAATAATGTCCCACGTTTTCCTGAGAAATTCACCTGTATAACCATCTGGTCCCGGTGTTTTATTTGTGGAGAGGGCGAAGACCTCATTTTTCACATCTTCTTGTGTAACCACTGACATTAGCTCCTTTTTTATGGAATCACTGCATCTGTACTTAATGAAAAGAGAAATCTTAGCCTTGTCGGAATCAGTCAAAGTCGTAGAAGCAACTCCAAACAGATCTGAGAAATAGTCTACACAATGAGCTTTTACCTCCTCCAAGTCATCTAGCCTTTGATCAGTATTATCCAAAAGATAGTGTATCTGATTACCCGCCCGTCTTGATGCAACCTTTCTATGGAAATACGCAGTATTGCAATCTCCACACTCTACACTCTGAACCCTAGACCTTTGGTGAAGAAATTTCTCCTCCGCAAGAGCAAGTTCCAACCAAGTCTTATGCGCATGCTTTTCACGGGCAGCCATGGCAATGGAAGGATTAGAGAGAAGGTTTTGCTGACATTCAAGAAGACTAGAGTGAGCTTCTTTAACTCTGTTTCCAGGGCCTGAGAAATGCCGTCTGTTGATGTCTTTGATCACTGGCTTCAATAACTTAAGCTTCTTAGATAAAGAGAACATAACAGTACCTTGGATAATTGTCTCTTCCCAAAACTTTTTGACTCTTGGGATGAAATCCGAATGCTCCAACAAGAAGTGAGAGATCATAAACTGTTTCTTCAAAGCCACTCTATCACCAATAGCAATGCAGGCTGGGCTATGGTCTGAAAAATCCGGCTCTCCAAAGTGACCATAGGAAAAGGGAAACTGAAGAAGCCATTTATCATTGATGAGAATGCGGTCGAGCTTCTTGGCTATAGGTGTTTCCTCTTGGTTGTTCCACCATGTGAACATGTTACCCCTGATAGACAGATCAAAAAGGCCAACAAAAGAAACACAGTCTCGAAAATCTTGGATGCCTCCTCTTGAAATTCTTGTGCCTCCATTTGATTTCTCTTGAGGGTTAAGGATTTGGTTAAAATCGCCTAGTAAAGCCCATGGTTTAGTAGCGACAACATGATCTGCAGCCAATACTCTCATCTCCTCCCACAACTGCTGTCTACCCGACTTACTATTTACTCCATAAATATAAGAAACAGAAACTTCCATGTTGGTATTAGGTAGCGTAACCATACAAGTGATCATCTGGCTAGATTTGGAATGAACTGTGATAGAAACAGAGATGTCCCATACAACCCAAATCTTTCCTAGCAAAATTCCAACCTGGAAACGTGGTTTGAATAATACGTTGGGACTTGTTTACCTTCACTCGAGTCTCTATTAAACTCCCAAAAAGCGGCTTGGACTGCCGTAGCCAATTCCTGAAATTATGCTGCTTCAGCTTATTATCAAATCAAGAGCCTCAGGAATTACTATAACCTCTTCCACTTTCTTCTTGGCCCGAGGACAAGTGTCTGAT